TAAGTAAAACACGATAATTTAACGGAATGTATCACTCTGTGTTAACTATGCAAGAGAGAAAATTATAGATTACTGTAGTAGAAATGGCATGAACATGCAGTCTATCATAAATCATCTAATATAATGACAAATCATCGTCATCGAACTCGATAATGATGACTTCATTATCATGCAAACAAGACATTCTGACGTCTCGCAATTGAGAGTTTCAATTCATCAAATGTTTGTCAGATAACAATTTTACGATGGAATGTTGGCACTTCGAACATAAACAATTCCTTCTTTTCTCTCGGAAACATGCCAAAGAGGAATAAAGATTACTGGCATTGATCGAGATCGCGATGGTGATGCAACAAAAAGGAAGGCACCTGTAATTATTTTTCAAAATGCAATGGTTGCTAAAAAAATTACAATATATTTTAATTAAAAATAAAATTTTTTTAAATAGTACTTAAAAAATATTTAAGAATAGATTGATTAGCTAAAAAGTGTAAAAAAGGAATGTATTTTTATGTGAAATGTATTTTTATGTGAAAAAAATATATTAAAATTTATGACAAAAAAATTTTGATTTGGCATGAATAATTTATAAATGATTAAAAAATTGAAAATAAATGTAATAAACTTCACAAATGCTGTTCTATCACATGTGCGAACAAATTTGAGTGAACCTCAGGCAAGCTTATAAGATTTGAGCTATAGTTTATGAGAAGTAACTGAAACCACTGTTACGTTTATCTCGTCGTGATATTAAATATCCTTATCGGTCTTATACTAAACAAACAACTCGTGAATCAATTCAGGATCGGCACACCAGGTATACATACCCTCCACGAATAAATTCACTATCATCAGTGAGTCCAACCGTTCTATCTCTCTTTTATTTTTTCAAATGTCTAATCTCCTTTCATTCACATATGGTGTGCTTTGCTATTTATCACATTGTATATCTGTCCTAAACTTCCGATGTCGTGTTAAATTAGATTATCGATCTTATATTAAAATTTTGCTTGAAAATTCTTCTGAGTATCTAGATTCTCCTGCTAATTTTATTTTAAAATTGTGCATCCGGCCATTATATTTTATAATTATTTTCACAAATTATATATCGCATCGCTCAAACTTTTTTATTATTCTCTTAACTTTCTTGTCTTCGGTATTTTCATTTCAAGATAATGGGGAAGTATGTATATATCTTCTTAAAATATTTTAATGCTTTTCCTAAAGACGATGTTTAAAGTTCTCCTTAACAATCCTTAAGAGTGTCCTCGAGATTCCTCTTGAGACTCTCTCAGGATTTCCCTCTTCGAGCCTTCTTCAAAACGTTCTGTTCGTGGTTTTCCTCCAAGTTTTTTTCAAGGTCGTTGCACAAATTACGAGACAGACGTTCGCGCACGAACACGACGGATACCAAAAAGTTTCACCGGGAATTAAAGTGACCACGAGAGGAGCAGGAGGTGAAGGAGGAGCAGGGGCAAACTGGTGATGCACAGACGAACACGATGCCACCTTGGTGAAAGCCACCACGAAGAAGAGGCTTCCTTGCCGCATCGAGTGCCGCTCCCGCCAAGCGGAAGATTATCTAAATAGACTCTGTGGGCCAAAGAGGGAAGGAGCAGAAAAGGAGACGAGACGGCGGCTTAGGAGGAGAAGAGGACCCACAACGAGCCGGTATTTATACGTCGTGCCTTTGGAGAGCCAGTGGCCGCGACCAGGAACATCCCTCTTCGTGTCCGCGAACAAAACGCACCGGATGCCATTGATTTTCTTCGATCGTCGATTGGAATTCACGGGGCGCGCCGCAACAGGAATTAACAGCCTCATCGGCAAGAAGATCTGAGAGACAGAAAGAAGGAAAGAAAGAGAGAAAGAGAAACGCGGGTTAATCAGCTGCGCCAAGCGAAACCGAGGACCTTTACTCTTTGAATACATCGCTGTGCATTTCTTGGGTGGTAGAGATTACTGCGAGATTTAATCTGAGGTTCGTCTTCGAATTTATTTCATCGTTTATAACAACGTAGTTGTAACTTTTGATAAGTAATTATGTACGGGTGTAGCTTTAATATTGTGTATGATAAGCTTTTACTGCGTTTTCTGACAACAATGGTGTCATTATGAAATTTATCTTTTATTTTATCAGAGACTTTATGAATATCGTTTGTTTTTATAACCTTTTTTAATATAAATATATATATATAATTGTAATTAATAATCGTTTTTAAAATTTTTTGTTAAAATAAAATTTGAATATGAATGTAGTAAAATATCAACTTAAAGCTTAATTTGTGAAAATTCTTATATTTTCACTACTGCTTATAAATAAAAACTTTTTAATGCTTTAACATTGTTTCAAAATTTAAACTATTATTATTTAAAATTTTTATTCTATATTTAATTACTGAGGGCCGGTTGTTCCACCTTTTGGTAAATTTTACCTGTTAGATAAATCTGGCAATCCACGCATGTGATTGGGTAATCTTGCTATTTACCCAACAGGTAAAATTTATCAAAAAAGGTGGAACAACCGGCCCTGAATCTTATATTTTACATAGAGTAACTATTAAAGTTTCTAGTTTAAAATTTAAAATAATTTATTTTGACATTTAGTTGCCGGTATTAATGATAAAAATTTGTTCTATAATTGCCGTAATAAAACACAAGATTTACGATAGTTTCTGATTAGAGAGACGAGAAGATTGCAATGAAGGAAATCTGAGTTGTACACGTTCGCAGCTGTTTTAATACAAGTGTGGATATCAGGTGTTGAACCTGATTACTGCGTTTGTGCGCGAAATTCTTTAGACGCTTACGTAACGACGGATACAATAAATTTACTAAAAAAATGAAACTTGCGCATTTGTATAATCAATTCTAAGGAATAGTGAACTAGGCAATGGAATTTCTTCTTGTTTGCTCTCTTGTTTCTTGAGACAATTCGTACTTCACACTTCATAGCATCATAAACTTTGATAATTAATTTAAAAAAAAGAGCAAATACTCACTAAATATTTGCTCTTTTTTAAGTAAGTACTAAAAATTCCGCAAAGCGCTTGTGTTTCTAAATTAACTTGATATTATTAAAATGGCTCAATCAGAATAAATCAATAATTTAAAAAAGGGTTACGAGCCAGATACAAAATATTGTATCTGACTCGTAGCCCTTTTTTTTAATTATTGATTAATTTGATATTCTATGTATACAGCGATTGCGTGCGTGCGTGCGTGTGCGTGTGTGCGTGTGCGTGCGTGAGAGAGAGAGAGAGAGAGAGAAAAATTAAATGAAGTTAAGATACTCAAAATGCATCATTACTTTATTCGGAATCTTATTAAGAACAATTAAAATAAAAGAAAATACGAAAAAAATATCGATATGGTAATAGCAATAACCTTTAGTAAATGTAATTAGTCAATAATAAATAAAAATTGGTTCTTGGACACCCCAGAGGAAGAAAGCAAAAAACTACCATAGATCGCGGATATGAAGACAATGGAAGAGGGTCGCGTCGGCATTTATGAATATAACATTCGCTCGTCTCGTAGCGTTGTTCAAGCGGAAAACATCGCGATTTTTTGTTGATCGGTGAAAGTTCACCGGTGATCCCAGGCAATCCCGGAAGCCGCGCTGCTCCACTCGTCGCAACGTGGAAAGAATCGGTATTGTGCATCGCACGCGCTCGAGCTCCGACGAACGCGTGCAGTCGCCTCTGGTTCAGGCCGTTTCAGCAAGGGCCGTTGAACCGAAACGACCAACCGGAACGACGTCCGATACTTTTTCCTTCTTCAATAACGGGCGATCCGCCGCGCGCGGATACTAATCGAGCGAAAATCAAGGACGCGCCGGCGAACGTCGCGTCGCGCCCCGCCGCGCTCGATTTCAGGGCCAAGAAACCGCGCATTGCAATGCAAAAGCAAGGGACTCGTCGACAGGAAGAAGCGAATTTTTACTGACCGTTTGTAGTAATAAATTTTAATAATTACAAATTTTCACTTAATATTGTTTAATAATTATTCTTACACTCACTTCATACTCGGATTTTTAGTCTAAACGTATTAATAGCTAAAGCAAAACTTAAAGAATATTCTTATCTTTGAAACCCGCGTCCGAAAATTTTGTGTTAAATGTAATCTGGAAAAGAAAAGATTCCAAAATTTGTTTAAAAATTGCATTTATGAATATAAGATTAGAATTGTACTTATTTACATTCAGCACTAAATGTAAGATGAAATTTTTAATATAAATTTAATTTTGAAATATATATCTAACGAAAAAATTCAGAGTATATATATCAACATAAAAATTTCACTTTACGAAGAAAAATGGATAATCTTGCAAGTCTAGTAAAAATATTCTGGCTATTTTTACCGAATTTATGACAAACTTTATATATATTGCCTCAAAGTAAAAAATACCGAATAAAAGAAATATAAGGTAAAAATTACATTGCATTTATAGTAAATCCATTCAAAATTATTATCTTAGTAAAGTAAATCATACTATTCTCAAGCACGAACAATTCTCAAAATTTACTTTACAAAATGTAAAAAGTACTTTAGAATACGACGCTCATTTATTCGAAAAGTAAAGTAAATTTTACGTAAGTAGGCGCCAGTCCTTCTATGGACATGTCATTTCCATAAAATTTACTAAAATTCTAGAGCATATTCTTTACATTTTTCTCCATGTTGATGGATTCTTGCATTTTAGCTAATTCTGCTCGTATCTCAGAATTCGTATCTTAGAATAAAAATCTAGAATTTTGGTATTTTATTAGAATAGTCGAATATATAAAGACCACATCATTCCTTAAACCTCTCACGTTTCATCCTGTGTAAGGGTCTCAGCTATTTTCCGAATTCTCAGAATCTAACTCATGTAACATCCATAAAATTATAGGATTATGGCATTCCGTGATCTTCGAACCGTACCTCGTGTCCGATATTCACACATTCCGACAGTACAACGCAAGGTTTTACTAGTTGTAGATTAACAGTGGACTTACTTCTGCAGACGATCGAAAATACTTTCGCCAATTCCCTGCGCGCGATTCCACCTGAGAAAATCGACAATCGTTGAGTGACAGCGCGCACATCCATGATCAGAAATCCACCGATGAAACGTGTCGCCAGCAACCGAGCACTTGGAGACTCGCGGATTTTCGTTGATGCTCCCGCGTTCACCGCGTGCACGCGCACTCACGTTTGCGTTGGTCGCTCGGGAAAATCAGCGATCTCGATCCCGATCACGAAGGAGAGATCCAGTCAAATCACCGCGTCGATCTTACTCAACTGCGCGCACTGGCACAACGTATATCCGTGGCACACATCAACACAACGCAGCCGTTCTACAAATCTAGATACTTTACTTCTTCCCGCGATTCCGCCTTTGGACTCCCAAGGAGAACGAGAAAGTTAAAATAATATCGCATTGACCGAATCATGACAAAAAAATGACACAAATTCGGTCAATATGACGTCAAATTAACATTATTTTGACTTTCTTGCTCGCCTTGGACCGCTTCTTTCCGGTTTATCATCTGATCGTGCTGCCACGAGTCCGAGAGAGAATCCGTGAATTACGTTCGCGATAAACGCGATAACTTTTTTACTTTACGGATGCAATTTAATGAAACGTTAAATCCGCAGAGCGATCCAATCTGAACTGTATTGGAAGTTTGATTTGCGAGGACTTTGCGTGTACCTCCAAGTCAGAAAGAAACGACGCTCCGCGTGAATTATGAACTGCGACTATGATTCACATATCGGAGTAATCTCTTTTCGCTCCGTGATACCGAGAATGGTTTCGCACGATACAAATCGCAGGTACTTTCCCACTTCACTTCATTCCCGTCGATAGACTCTCATGCGTCTTTCTCTTGCAATCATATAAAAGAGGAATCATTTAACACGCAAAGTCAGTGAACTGAAAAATTTTCAATCGATCAGCATTTGTCTCACTCGTTTATTACCTGCTTTCAATGTGTAAAAAATTTAATTTAAGAAATTTATCCACTTAAAAATTGAACATAATAGTCAACTTTCAACAAAGAAGATAAAAATCAACATACTACATAAAATTTACAACAAAATTAAGTTCCTAATTAGCGTAATAAGGCTCTGATTTTCATGCAATTTATCGAAAGTACTCGCTGTCTATATCTGAATCCACATATCCACAAAAATTCACAGGTTCCCACGTCCTTCTCTCCTCGGAAGAAGACGAGGACCGCGCACAAAAGGCACACTCTCGAAATCGACTCCGGTTTCGATCAGCGTGGATCGGTCCCGGTGGCAGACTCGCGACGCGCGCGCGCGAGGACGCGTCGCAGACGATCGCGGGCGGTCTACGGGATCGCGGGATGTTGGGACCGCTCGGCGCGACTCCCGAGCGTGTGTGCGTAATCGCAGCGTTACAAGACGGCCGCGATGCGGTTTCACGGATGCAGGGAGAAGGGGGTTACATCAGAGAATACACGAAGAGTCCACGCTCGGCTTGGTTCGGTCGGTTGTTCGATGACGGCGACGACGACGACGACGACGACGATGACACGACGCGCGAGAACGCGCCGCGCCGAGGCACCGCTTCGACTCTGCTACGCTTCGCAAGTGCCAACGACGGGACCGATGAATGGCTGTCCGGATCCAGCTGGGTACCACGATGAAGCTGGCCCGACTCGACGCGAGAGACCATGGCGCGTATGCACGAGGCAAGGCGGACCCGACAGCACAAACCGGCACGAAGGAACGGCTTCGACGGCGCGGAGCGTGAGCGAGAGGGGCCCGACGGGGCCTAATCTGACCGGAGGGGCTCCTATGCTCCCTTCGCGCTAACTCTCCCTTGGCGAAAGGTGGCCGCCGAGCGAGAAGCTGCGGTCGGCCGAGATTTTCCTTGCCGACCATGTCTTTAACATTAACAATAATAGTTTTACAATAATATTAATTCATATACTGATTTTATTTTTATGCTGTCTATATTCATGTTTTTATATTTATTGTTCTGAATTTTTAATTATGGTTTTATTTATTTTATGATTTGATACTCGATTATTTTTTAATTTATATTATTGCGGCTGAAAAAGATCAAGTAGAGTAGAAACTTGTTCTGTTGCTGTTTGTATTAATTTTAGATTTTAATGGATTAAACTACGGAATATTAATTTAACATCTTTGCTGTCATTTTGCTCGTACTTGATTTTAGTTAACATATTTATTTATTCAATAATAATTTTTATTCAATATTTGTTATATTAAAGAACTTTACATACTTTGTACAGGTAGCTTCACATACACAGATATCAATTGTATCAAGTTACCTGCTCCACTCTATGTGAGTATAATTAGTATAAATACATTTATTAAGCCTATTAAAATTTTAATGACATAGAAAGTCGTGACTTTCTTTCTTTATATCTTTATTTTTAATAATTTATTTTGCGGGAATTTCTTTTAGATTTTATTTTAAACTCTTGTTATTACCAAGAAATTTATTACGACCGTGCATCTATAGGTTTCTTAGTTGAGGTTCTTATTTCGCTTGGGCGGGAGAAATCTCAGATTCAAACATCGCATCGCGTGGCTGCTCCCGCGCCACGCCGGCTAAATATTTCGCGGAATATATTAAGATATTAGTCACGTAACTCAGTGGACCTCCGCCACTATTAGCTTTCGAAGCAAAGTGATTTCCACGCGATCTTGGAGCACGTGATCGGTATCCAGAACATGCGATATTTCAGTCTTGATACTAACACCTACACTTTTATTCAATAATAACCGTTGATTCACTAAGATAATTATAGACTTTCTAGTATCTATTAAGCCTCATTTTTAAATCATTTTTACTCGAGACATAATTATAAAAAAAACGAATATATAAAGAATCGATTACAAAAAATTAAAACAGAAATTTATTATAATAATATAAACAAAATTAATTATAACAAATTAATGCTAGTAACTTTCAATATATCGGTTATCTTTAAAACTTGGCATAAAACATTTTGCATATATTACATTTATCTCAAAAAAAGCTAACTTTAAGAAATAAATTTAACTTTTGCAAATTGTAGTCTCTAGATATGAATCTTATTCTCTTATCAATTCTCCGACTCATTGTCAGATCGCGTATCTGGCGTCATACAGTATATAGTCGTTAGCTGAACGTGCGAAGGGTCGTGTTTCCATTCGCAGATAATTCACAAGAGAGTTTGCGTTCAAGAATATTTCGAAAGTAAGAAAAACCTTTTTCTTCGCATATTATCTTACATACAAATTAACATTTGTGTTAACATATCTGTATTTTTATATATTTGATTCTTTTATGATTAAATCAAAACTATTCAATATAATTTATTGTTAAATTATTGGAGTTAACACGAACGTAGCATATCTCAACCTATCTGTTCTCTCTCTCTTCTTTCTCTCTCTCTCTTTTTCTCTCTCTTTTTGATGCTGATACTTCGTTCAACTTGAGTGACTCTAGTACTCCGAGTACGTCAAGTTCACTCGAGCAGTTACGAGCGCCGAGGAGGAATTACATCAAATTCAGTTTGGTAATCAAACAAATAGCGCATTCCTGCGTTGTCAGATAATATAATTTGTCGCCAAAATACTTTCCGTTCCATAAACTCAGCTGATTGCAAAATTAAACAACCGAGACGAACCGCGCGATAAGTTTTATCACAAAGATAATAATTTTAAAGTCTGAACGCACTCAACGATAAACCTGTTGCAACATTTGAATTCAACCTGCAATAACTGCATTTATATGCTGATTTTATTAGCAATTTTAAATTAATCACCTATCTTTTTAAAATTTTATTTAGTGAAATATTGTCTCTTAATGTTCGTGTATTCTTGCAACGTTTATGCTAGATGCGATTTTATTGTTTAATGCAAAATGATCTGAAGAAACGCCAGCCAAAAGCTGCTAGTAGTCTTCGATAAAAAGGTCAGATAAACAATCGCACACATTGTGAGCACATACACGCATACATCGAAGTCTACATTCATCGGCAGAAGCGGCGCGACGGGATGGCTGCTGCGTTTACTGATTATTCCGATTTGCTCAATTTGACCAGGGCATGAGAAGAGCCACGTGCTGGGTGTTGGTTGAAGATTTCGCGGCGTTGCCAGTCCACAGTTGTCTTCATTCCAATCATTGACACCGTTGAAGTACATCTCGACAAGATGGCAACGTTGACAGTGTCGCACGAGCGGCATGGTAGTCCGAGTCCGACGCCTAAATCGAGAGGCAATTGGTGGTCCAGCGGATGCTAAAGAAGCTGCCGCAAGGGCACCGATAAGATAGCGAGCGATCGTAGAAAATGGTACAGAAGAATGAAGAACGGAGGGATCTGTATCTAGCGCACATAATGCATGCACATGTATTTATAGCTTCTCGACTAGCAGGCGTCGAGAGAAGACTACGGAACGCGTCTCTTGCTCCGTGTTTGGGCGCCGATGATATCCCGATGGCGGGGTTAATGGGAAGTTTGAAATTACGTGTCTATCAGTGGGCGAGTACTGATGAATGGCGCGCACGCCCGGTTTCATTTAGAAGAAGTTTACTTGAGAGGGCAATGGTCGACCTAGAACTCCAGATGTCTGAAGTAGAAATGGGATTTGGAACCCAATAAATAACACATTTGAAATGATTCTAAAAACTGTTTTCTATGTTATTATCTGGAAATGGTTGCCTGGCATTAGTAATAACAGTTTAATCGTATTCAATGATAATTTCGTCATTATTACTACCCGATCAGTTTCTCAATTTCGTGTTATTCGTTCCGTCGCATCGTTTCCGACTGGATATATCTTTGCACCTTATACTATTGCTAATCCCAATGACGTTAATCCTGCTTGTCGATGATCTACGGCGTCTTAGAGCACCGCTATCTCGACGACTGTCTGGATCCATTACGCTGTTCGTTGTTGCGCCGAATGACTGTGAGGATTTATAGACGCATGTAGGCACTGTCCTCCCCAGAGTGAATGGATTTTATCATTTCATAGAGCCCCGTGAAATTCCTCATGGCCGGCCGACAATGACGGCCAATCAACAAACCATTCTGATCTCCGTGTACATCGATTACAAAAGGAAAGGTTCGAACATGTCTGTCTAGAATTTTTACTGATCTTCGTGACCCTTTAATTTTTT